TTCTTGCATCTTCATACTCCAACAGTGAGAACAAAGACTGTATTCTAGAGTGATTTTGCCATATTTGCTCATATTGTGAAGATATTGTGTTCTCCTTTGAAAGTGGAAAACTTCCTCACTTTTACAAGGGGAAGCCCTTGAGAAGCCACTCCATGCCTTGTTTTTTGGTACTTAGAGCCTGTGAGTATATGGGTGTAGGAGTTTAACCTTTTCCTATACTTCTTCAGCTGTTCCTATCCAGTTTGCTAAGCTGGATGCCTCTTGCAAATTCCTTTCAACTACATATCAAACTCTGTACTTTGCTGTGCTGGGAAAAGGATGGTTGTTTCTCAGTGACTGCCTGAAAGATTTGGGTTTGATACTCTGGTCCACATGTGTATTTTTGGAGGTGTGCATTGCCTCTAGTTTTGTAGTCCTTAAAAACAATCATGAAACAAGACTGGAAATTTGTCGATTTATCCAGCGAAAATGACGATGAATGTTTCAGATCACCCTTCAGCATCCATCCATTAGGAATCAGATGATAAAAGCATCAGGAATCATGTGGGTCTGATACTGCTTTTATGGGAGCTCTGTGCCAAAAATTAGAAGGAGCTTCTTCCTTCCTATTCTGATCTGATAAAATAGACATTTCCTGGGGTCATATATGGGGCTTTTCAGGCAAGTGCCTGGTGTTGGCTTATACGGTGAAAGATGAGGCAAGAGACGTGCACATTTATCATCCTACCCTTTGGCAGCAGCCACACCACAGAAGTTCTGGCAGATCTTTTAACACTGTCCATGCTACTGGACAATCATTTGCTGCATCCTCTTGCTTGGTGCTGCCATATCTGAAGATGTTCCATAATTGTTTCCTGCTTCTGCTCCCTCCAGGCTCTTTCAAGTTAACTTTGTCTTGAGCCAGTGGTGAGCTGTGTGTCTTTCAGCTCAGTAGAACTCTCTACTCAGCACTGACCCTTTAGGACCAGGAGCTGTTACAGCTCTTTTCTTCCATCATCTTGTCAAGAACAGGAATCTTATTGCAAGGCAAATGAAACCAGTTCTTAACAACAGCAGCAGTTCACCCTCCTGACCTTATGGGACAGTTCTGGAAGATAAATTTAAGCCACTGGTCACTTACATGTGGAGTTACAGTTTTCATAACACAGTGTTGAGTAAAACAAAAGTGCCTGTGTACATAGGCTGAATTTTTGTAAGTAAGCTCATCTTCAGTTTTACTTTCAGATGCTTCCCTCATTCAGAAGTGTTTACTGGAGAGAGCATTTCTGCAAGGGCTTGTAGGATTACTGGTCATAACGAGCAGTGTCCCTTTCAGTATTTCCTTATTCTGTAGTCTGGTGAAATCTTCTACCACTGTTTCTGGTTTCACTGCCCACTAATCAAGCTGGTTTAGGAGCTCACTAACCATAAGAGACAAGATTTTCCAAATATTCTACTACCTGAAAAACAGGACTTCCCATGTCTGGGTCTAACTCCTGCTTTCTTGGTAATGACTGCTATTGGAGGAGGCTTTGTGCTCCTTAAGACTTGCAGTGGAAATGTTTGAATGGTGTGCAGGATGACCTCCAGAAGTCATGTCTAACCTAAATTAGTCTGTTCTTTTATTCAGCACATTCACAGTCAGTTTAATGAGTCCCTGTGGTAAAAAGAGCTCGTTCCTGTTTTGCTCACTTTGGTATAATAACACCTTTTGTTGAGGTGATCTGTGATACGTGTAAGATTTTGGTTGCTTTGTTCCTTAGCTGTAATGTGGCTCTTCTACCTAAGGGGCAAAATCTTGGAGAAAACAGTCACACAGAGTGGGATTCTTCATCTAAATGTCTGGAGATCTTAGTGAGGGGGGGAAATGGCAACCGTGGGATGCAACTTAACCTCTGTTAAAGGCTGGTGAGTTGTGCCTCAGAAATTACTGTTTCCCCCTGCTGACTGTGAAGAGACGTGGTGAATGTGCAAGGTCAGCACATATGACAGAACAACCCCTAAATTTGGGCTGATAAATCCCATTTTTAGTGGTTCATTGTGTGTGTCAGGACCACTACATGGTTAATAAGAACAAAAGTGCTTTGTTCAAAGACTGTTTGTACGTGGTGTTGAGCAGCAGCAATCTATGGGCTCTGGCTGAGGAACAATGGTTTTGTGAAGGTCAGGCCAGTCCAACACTCCAGATCAGAGAAACGGCAACGCTGGTGGGGTTGAGACTTAACTGCACTGTTGGAGGTCCAAAGATGGGACATGGTAGAGATCTTCAAAGGCTAATAACTATATATCAACAGAGTGGAAGGTTCTTGTGGGTATTTTCTGCATGAAACATCTAAATGTGCTGGACAGAAGCCCAGCTCCACACCCCAGTGCTTTGGCTGGCCACCAAGCAGTCCTTTGGGCAACTGAAATTGGTCAACCACAGAAACTAAAGGAAAGTGTGAGTGGATGAGTGTGTGTTTGTGCTTGCAAGCAGTTTCAGTAAATAGGAATTAAGTTGGGATTTTGCTTTGTAATTACCTTACTTAAATAAAAGACAAGTATTAACATTAAGAACTGATGGCATTTTTACTATATTTAAAAGATAACTGTGTAACACTTGCTACTATAAAACAGTAGGAATGTCACTTGAGCTGTGATCTAGGAGGACAGCCCAGGGGGATGAGTTTAAATATTTCTTTACTAAATTTTGGTGACTTATTACATCAGATGTTCAACATCGTAATGTCTAAGCTAAACTCACTGTCTTTTATGCAAGATTTAAGTCTGAGCTATCTCAGTAGCTGTATCTGTTCAGCAGTTTTTCCAAAATATGCCTATTAAAGCTAGACAAGATGGCACCTAACTGAAGATTCTTGAGATTCTTGGAGACAAATAACTTACAGATAAATCAAGCAGGATCAGAACTCATCCTTTGAAGAATCTTTTTCTTTTTTTCCTTCTGGATTGTCTACAAGCTCAGCATCTTGAATAGTGTGTCTTTGGAGTTGTCTCTCTTGAAATATCATTTCTGAATCTAAAATAATACCTCAACCTTACTGTCTCTCCCATCAGAACGTGGTGCTGGGTGGTGTTCTTTGCTGCTACTGTGTCTGGGAAAGAAGTAGCAGCAGGAATTTGGAGACTGCCTGGAGTCCTGTAGTTGGCTTTCCACATCTTTTCTGCCACGGGCATGCTTCTTTTCCAGGTTATCAATTAGAGTTTGTAAACTTGCTTGAGGAGTTGTGGTGCATAATTACTATCTGGAAGAAAGCTATTTTCCCCCTGGCTTTAATGGATTAGCTGTTACCTTCTTGCTCTGATACAGCTTGAACATCTTGCTCTTGTGAAAGACTTGGGACATGAGCTGACAGTGGCTATTAGCTCGTGTGATGTCTGTTGTTGTGGAAGGACATCGGAGCTGAAGGCTCACGGTTTCAGGCAGTCTGAGTGTACTTTCCCCTTTTTTGATGAAGAGTGGTTAGAACTTACTTTGCCCCGAGGTGGAGTTAGTCTATGTGAACTCACTTCTGCCTCATATCTGCTCCCCAAATAGCTCACTGCAGCGTGCTGCAGGAACTCTTAAGTGTGATGCTGTTGTGTGGGAACACTTCATGTATGTGCCTGGAGGGTTCCTGTGTGGTTTCAGTCTCCCTCATGAGTTAGTTTGCTCCTGTGGTGGATTTGGTGGTGTTTGTTTAGCCCGACTCCTCCTTGTGTCATCAAGGTGTCTGAACACCTCTGGGACCTTTCTGTTTAACCGTTTTCTAGATAAATACTGTGGTGTGTATCTTAGTCTTACTTCTGGTCCTGTTTTTTTGTTGTTGTTGTTTTTCCCCCCACAGCTTCTTCAGTTTCAATGCAGTTTGGGGGTGGTGGTTGTTAAGCAGATCGTTACTCTTGTTCATTGGTGATATGGCACAGGCATCTCTGTATTCAGGAGGCAGCTTTGAGAGTTGTCATCCACTGATGTTTGGAGGGTGGATTTGCTTCTCATGGTCAGAGAGAGCAGTCAGGCTGTGTAGAGGTAGCAAGAAATATGGATTGCTACCTATGTTTTTGTTTGCCCCTACTTTTTTTGATGCTGATTCCATTGACTGTGAAGCCCCTTTATTCCTTAATCTGTTGTGGAGAGGAGCCCCTTGGCACATAATTTAAAGCAGACACTTAAGATACCACTGTGTAATCATGGTCTATTAAGCAATTGCAATTGGTACTTCTGTGTTATTTGGACTGAGGACCAATTCCATGGATATAGAAAAATAGATTGGTTGTGTCCTAGTTTAGTGCCAGGCCGAGACCTGGACAATAACCATCAATTCTTCATTGTGTTTTCCCTAGGAAGACTATTTAGGGGTGCAGGCAGGACAGGAAGAATATTATGCTTGAACATATCACCAAGAGATCAGGAATTTGAGGTGCACTAAAACCTGAGTCCTTCATGCTTCAGAGAACCAGTGTTGACAAGGAAGTGTTTCTTTTCAGAATAGCACCACATCCTTGCAGCTTCTGATTCAGAAATTAAGGAGAGTTAATTCATTAAGGAATGAAATTACTTGGTTGATTTCTCGAGCAGCAAAACAAGCCAACTAATCCTTTTAACTTTCAGTCGTATTTAAAATAATCAGACAATTCCTTTTAATTTGTAAAAATCAAGACTCTGAAAGCTGGAGGGGACATTGTTTCAGTCTCATTTTTTTTGACAACTTGCTGTAGTGAACATTGACTGGAATGTAGCACAGTCTTCAGATGTTAAACTAAAGCCTCTCTCTACAGAGATATCGGAGACTTTAATCTCGAATGTTCATGTAATAAAAGAAATACAGATCTGATTTTGCTGAGCTTTTTTCTAGCTTTTTAACCATTTTGAAAGTGAAAGGCATAAGGTTTTTGTTTGGCCTGTGTGGTTTATGTTCTGTTTTGAATACCAGGTACCTGCTTATGCCGCCTTTTTTTTTCTAGTGAAAGGGGAAACCCTTCTGCTGGTGTCTGGCAAAGAAAAGGCAAAGATTTGTTTAGTTGTTCTTTGGGTTTTTTTGCAGGTAAAGAAAGCCTTTTTTGCCTTGGTGGCAAATGGTGTGAGAGCAGCTCCACTGTGGGAGAGTAAAAAACAGAGTTTTGTAGGTAAGTAGTTCTGACATTATTCAGAATTACTTGAATTTCCAAGGTGCTTTGCTGTTGCTGAAGGTGGTCTGGGGCTGGCCATCATCCAACATCCTGGAGATGCAATGGCAAAGAGGGTTTCTTTTTCCTCCTGAGGAGTGAAATATTGCCAGCTTTCGTAGTGTTGCTGTGCTTTGAGAATCATGATGGTTCTTTTAGGTCCCAACCTTCTGAAATTTCATCTCTAATATGTGCACTTCACTGTGTATTTAAAAATAAAGGTGATGGTCACAAAAAGGAAATTTGAATATTATAACTATAAAGAGAATAATTTCGTGTCGCAGTATCCTGATATGGGTGCAGTACAAGCTTATTACTGTATGTGCTCAATAAGCTGCACTGAGGAATCTTTAAATACTAGAACTAATATTGAATGTTACAGGTATGTCCCATACTGGGAGAAAAGCATTAGATCCATGTATTGCTTTTCTTAAAAATCGTGTCATTAATTGCCACAATAGTCTACCAAAACTAGATCTCTGTTGCAGTTAGAAAATGGGGTCACAGTGGCAATTACAAATAGTATTATATGTACTTCTTGTGACCTGGAATGGAGGGTGAGGATTCTTGGAAGTGAATGGTAGATGCTTAATAAAGCATTTGTTAAAATATTTTAAATCCAAGTGAGGAGGGGCAGTAGTTTCCTGCAATACACCATAGGAGTGTTGTGTCTACCATATTAAATTTCATTTCATATTCTATCTGTAACTAAGCTCTAGTGATTTAAAGCTGACCTCCAGATTAATTTTTCCCTTCCCCATTTCTTAGTTTCTTCAGTTTAGATGTAAGAGTACTAAACAGTGGAGCATCTTCTCAAATCTAGAACTTGAAAGCTCAAAAAAGATTAATATTTTAAAGTAACTAAACTAATCATCAGTATTATATTACCTAGTTTGGTTTTGATGCTTGAAATACATATACTATGGGTGTACTATATTTTTTTTTAAAGTCACATTTCAATACAGACATTGAGGATTACCATGGAAATGACTGAACTTCTTTAATAGGTAATATTCAATAAAAATGGATTATACTACTCCTTCGAGTCTAAGACTCTGCCTGATTTGGCAAGTACATAATGAAAGTGTGTGTTCAAAAAGAAAATGAAAGGCAAGGATAGTTCTCCAACCTTTAAAGATGTTCTAAACCCCCTCTTTTCTTTCTACTCTTTTGGGGGTAGATGTTGTCTGAATTCAAGGGGGTTTTTTGAGTCAGATTGGAAGTGAGGAGAAGCACATGGGTTATAATTTTGAATATTAATTCAGACGTGTGTTTTGATTCTGAAATAATGTGTCAGTGTGAAAGTGGACAGACATAGTTTTGGAATACTACTGTTAAGTATTCCAATACAAATACATGGATTTAATGTTTATTAAATTATATGTTGTGAATATAAATAGAGAAAATAGCTGAAAGTTCTATATGTTAAATATCTATCTAAATACCTTTTTTTTATGTATTACTTGTTACAGGAATGTTAACAATTACAGATTTCATTAACATACTGCATAGATACTATAAGTCTCCAATGGTAAGTATGATGTTAAGCTATAATTTGGTAATTTGCCATACAGTACAGAGAGTGAAATATCAAATTGAAAGATTTATGATGATTGTCATTATTATTTAAGTCTTTGAAAGTTTAGATATACTGGGGGAATGCTCACTGTTGTTTTGGGGTTTTTTTGAGAGAAAAGATGTCTGTGTGTGCAAGGTTACAGAGTGATGTCTGGATACCTGAGTTCAGGTCCCAGCTTTAGCCATGAGCATCCTGAGCCTGGGCAGGTAACATAACCTGTCTGCTTCAGTTACACTTGTATAAATATGAGGAATTCCCTCACTGAGTGCCACCTCTTATGATGTTTTATGTGGTGTTTGCCTTAATGAGCCTTCCCTTTGAATGTGAGGCTCCTCTTAGTGTTGCAACTAATGAATTGGGATTCATTAGGGATGAATTGGGATGAAGGACCTGGCTTAGCACACTTACTAGAAACTAGATGTGATATAAAAAGTGTGAGGGACAATACTTGATTAGTAATCACTGTATTTATTTGTGTTCAGGTTGTTTCAAAGCACGTACTTCAAAAGTAACCAGAGCTCTTGAAAAATGGCAAATATCAACCAAAAACCACTTGGGGAGGATGTCTTGACGTTGCATGTAAAAGTTCATTGTATTTAAAAATCAAGTGTGTAGCTATGTGTGGTTCACATGTTGATACAATCACCTTTGTCTCACAACTATGATGGAGCTATTCCAAAAGGAGCATGTGGAGTTAAGCAGGATGCTGCTCGCAGAGGCTTGGATGCTTTAAAAAATTACTGTTCTTGGAGTGATGGTGTGGAATAAACAAGTTAAACTAGTTAAAATATATGCAAATATTTTAGTTATGTGGCTGAATTGCACAATCAGTTGGAGATCTGTTGGCTTCAATTAACTGTAATTTAAAATTCCCATTGGCAGTCAGTTGATGAAATTCTCTAGCTTGCATGTTCATACAAACATTTACATCCCTTTCTTGTTCCTGTCAAATCACAATTCCCCCTCTACCAATTAGAACATATGTACTCTGTTTTACTAGCTAAAAAAATCAAGAACAGTTGGATGAAGCAGACATCTGATACATTTGCCTTCTCAAAGCTCATGTTAATTTTTAAAATTTATAGTGAAATTCTTGTCAGATGCCAATAGTGTGTTGCACTGTCCTTTTTTCTTGTTAAAGAATTCTTTTTTTCTCCCTGGGGTTTTTCAAAGGGTGGAGGCAGAAGCAAATAAAACGTGGTAACTGGTAACTTCTTAAAAATGGTTTCTATATTGCAGTGACACTCAACCTCAACACTACTGACTTTTCCATGTAACTTTACCTAAGGTCTGACTGTTGTCACTCATTTACATTGTTTAACATCCTATTCCATGTGTTCTCCTTAAAATGACAGCAGGAACGAGGAATAGCTGAGAAGGGACAATATTTGACTTGAGTGATTGATGCAGCCTTCTGTAAGAAAAATAAGTAAATTAATGTTCCATCAGGGAATGCTCTAGTCTTAATAGGTGAAATTATGCTGAAAATATAATTATTTAAATATTTTAATCATTCTTGCTAAATGCATCACAACACATACAGAGTGAAGCACATTGTTATTCATGTAATAGGTAATACCCTCAATTGATTGATGAGGAACATCCAGGTAGTTCCTCCATAAAGAAGTGCTCTTGCTTGTTAGTAATTAAGTAAAATTAATCTGTTAGCATTAAGTAGTCAAGTGATCAGGGTAAGCTTTTTGCTGGTATGAGTGTGTGAGGAATCACCAGAGGGTTTACTCTGGATGACTGTTTTAAGGTGAGATAAATTACTGAGGGGATGCCTTTGAGTCCAGAAGAGACCTGGACTACAAACCTTGGCCAGCATAAGGTCTTTCTGTCCCCCAAAGTGGTAGATCCTGGATGGTGCTGTGCATTGAGCAGAGTTGCACCCTTTCTTTTTGTTATTGCCAGGAAATGTTGTTTTGCACTGTTCTTACTCTGTTCGATTATCAGCAGTGAAATAAAAGAAAATCGGTCGGATGTTTATAACGTTAATGTGGATTTAAAATTCAAGCTAAACTTCCATCTCCTCATTGTAGGTTCAGATTTATGAATTGGAGGAGCACAAGATAGAAACCTGGAGGGGTAAGAATATTTGCTACTTGATAATTGACTATTTCCACTATTTCAGCATAGTGAATTTTCAATTAATCATAGACTTAGCTTGTCTCTCTCCACATACTTTTTAGTGAAAGCAGAAATAGTAAATGCTTCTCTTTTGGCTCCTGCTGCTTACTTTTCTATCTGAAATAGCACGTGAACTGGTGATCTGGGCTATATAATACTTTGTCCCTTGTTCTTGGTTAGCACCAACTTGCTCTTTAAGAAAGAAAAACAACCTGGAGTAAGGCAGCATGTGTGGGATATTGGAATGGGAATGTACCTGAGACAGGATGCTGAAGGAATAGGTGGAGTGAACTGAAGGGTGAGCAGGAAGCTCTGCCTGAGGGAGCTGCAACTAGAAATTCATGCAATGCATGGGTGTGAACACAAGTGCTGAATGCAGGGAGGCAGCTTTATGTTAAAAAATGGACTGTCTGACATGAAATAATTCATGGAGGTACCCTGTGCAGCAGAGCCTCACAGAACCGACCGAGGAAAGGATTATTTGCTGCAATTGCAGTGACCCCTGGTGGTGTTCAGCTTAGTGCTGCTTTTAAAATTTGTCTTCTTAATGTCAATATAGGGGAATGTGCATAAATGGTAGAATAACTAAAATAACTGTGCATATTGCTGTTTGTCCTCCACTTAATTTTGTACGAATGAGTTCATGAAATGCTTTCATAAAATCGAATGGTTTTGTGTGAAGTGGTAACAGTCTATTAATTTTCTATCTCCAGAGCTTTATTTACAAGAGACATTTAAACCTTTAGTGAACATTTCCCCAGATGCAAGGTAGGATTTCACTGTTCAGTCTGCTTCACTTGAAATACATTAACTCCATCTCAGCACTGAATTTAAGCTCCTTTACATAATAAGAAACAATTTAGATTGTAAACTAGAGTACAACAATGAAGGACTGTCTTTTAATATAATCAAGAAGGTGTGAGAACTTCTTTTTTATTGTGAGTGAGGACTTTTTTGATTATCCAAAGGAAGAGAATTTTTAATTGAACTTTTGCCTTTCTTTGGCATAACTGTTCTGGTAAATGAACTAGACATGGGTCAAAATTAATTGCCCCAAAACATGCAAAAAAGGCATTATGATGACACTTAAGCTACCCTGTAAGTCCTGTTTATTTCAGAAAAATCAAAAATTGTAGAGAGCCTTTCAGCTGTCTTGTTCTCAGCAATCACAGGAATTGAAGACTTAAAAGTACTTTTCAAGGCAAGTAACTTTCCTTAACTAAAGGAAAGACAATATCTTTGTGGTTTGTTCTGCTCTACTGCAAGGTTGTGTTTCTTAAAATATAAATGACTTACCTTTTCTTCTTGATGAAAGTTGAAAGAAATACTTTTTAAACTGTCATTATGCCTTATTTACTAAATGTAACTTGAGAGAGAGCTTTGGTTGATCACTTATGTCTTGAGTGCTACGTAATCCCTGAAGTGGAGGGTGAAGTTCTGGTTCTTGCTTTCAGTTTGTGGACTAGTCTGCTGATTATCTCAGAGGTAATGATGTGCTGTATCTTCAGCAGAATTACCATTAAGTCACAAATAAGTCATTCAGTTAAGTAGTAGAGGATGTAGCTTGAAAGGTAACTGGTTGCAAAGAATATTGTTAAGACAGCAAAATAGTACAATTGTTTTCAGTCCAAGGTGCAGCAAGAGAAGTCTTGCAATGAAGAAGATGCAGTAAGACGTTTATAAAAGATTGAGGTGCATTAATTACAAGACCTCTCTATTTTTCACTGCTTGTCTCAAAAATACCCATTCTGAGTGCTGGGATACTGTGGGCACAGCACTCGCTGCAGAAACAGTTTGCACTTGTGAAGAAGTCTTTCCACTATACTTTATACCACAAAAAATCAATGTCCATCACATTTTCTTGCTGGTTTTAGATGTCCATGAGCATGTTGTTATTGATGTGTTTTACCAGCTGCAAAAGTTAATTTGAAATCCTTTGAATTCTGTTTTCTGTAACATTATAGATAATGCAAATAATTACATGGGCTTCATGGGTGTTTGTAAACATATATTTATAATCTATAATATTTATACATTTGTAAATATATATTTCCATTACATTTATATTTGTATATATTTACATATATGTTTATATTTATATTAAAATACTTATATATTTATAAATATATAAAATGTGTATATATATATATCACTTGGCATTGCTCATTGTCAGCTAGAATTCATTAAAAAAATAAAATGTTTTTCTCCTCAGCCTTTTTGATGCTGTATATTCGTTGATCAAAAACAAAATCCACAGATTGCCAGTTATAGATCCAGTCAGTGGAAATGCACTTTATATACTTACCCATAAAAGAATCCTCAAGTTCCTCCAGCTTTTTGTAAGTATTTCAAGCTATGCTGTACTTAATTGATTCTCCCCCAGTAGACATCTAATATAATTAAGTAATTTAAGTCCTAGTGCAGAAACTTCTTAATAAACTTCCATATTCATCGTGTCCATGCATATTTTTTCTTGATAACAGAGAAATTAGAGAAATTAAAAATTGATGCAGGACCTGTACTTTACTTTGTTTTAACCCTTTAATGAAACCTGAACACCAAGGACTTGTCTATTGGAGTAACTTGCTGTCCTTTCTGGAACATCTTCTCAGCTTCAGAACCTTGTTTACATGAAAAGAAGATTTAACTGTCTCCCAGAGATGAGATTGTCATTACTCCCTGTAGCAGTGTTAGTCACAGGAATGAACAGGAGGCCAAACAGAGCGAGGAGAGTTCAGAATAAACATTCAGCTTAATCTTGTGCTGCCTCCTCTCTCCAATTTTAGTGGGAATGCCACAGCTTAGGATCTACAGCTTTTAGCAATGGGTTATTACCAGAAAAAATAAGCAAAACACTTAGTTACCTACTCTTAATTTAGAGCTGCTTTGAACAGAAACTCTGAGGTCAGAGCTTGTTTGAGCTTTACATTAATCTGGTAGCAGGTTCCTGCAGTGATCTGTAACCATCACTTGGAGTCTGCAGATGGATGAGGGAACACAAACAGCTACACTGTAAACACATTCCTTCTGACTTTCCTAGATGTCAGAGATGCCAAAGCCTGCCTTTATGAAGAAGAATCTGGATGAACTTGGGATAGGAACTTATCACAACATTGCCTTCATACATCCAGACACTCCTATCATTAAAGCCTTGAATATATTTGTAGACAGAAGGATATCGGCATTACCTGTTGTGGATGAGTCAGGTGGGTCTCCTGTGCACAAGTGTGGTAAAATAAATCATGCTGAACCCTGGGCTGGTGTTGGGGTGGGGGGAGAAGACAAGAAAGAGTAAAAAAAAAGTAATCAAAAAGGCATGGGGGAGGAATGGGAATATAAAGAAATACTTATGCAAGACGTAGGTTGATAGTCTTGGAAGAGCCTCATCATTTAGCAGATTGTTTGTTGGGGTTTTTTTTTTCCAGTCTTTTTCTGTGTAATTATAACGTAACAAATAAAAGCAGGAAGCAAGAAAACTGATTTTGCATTTTAAGCACTTTGTTAACTTTTGGTTTTCTTTTTTTCTTTAGGAAAAGTTGTAGATATTTATTCCAAATTTGATGTAATAGTAAGTATACCTCTTAAATTCTATTTATTATTTTATATGCAGTAAGCAATTGCTAATGAATTTGTTAATACAACAGTTTTGGTTATTTTGTTCCTTAGGCTGTAGTTAACAAACTGAATGAAACAGATTCAGTTCACCCTGCACAGCATTTTTTTAATTCCTACTTTTTATTTAAGTTATTCTTAGTAATACTATTTGCAGACAAGCATCTACTGTTCTGGATGTTACCCAAAATTAGATCTGGCTGTACTCTTACAAAAAGAGAGTGTAATCCAGAGAAGGGAATCAAAGCTGGTGAAAGGGCTGGAAGGAGTGTCCTACAAGGAATGGCCGAGGACTCTGGGTTTGTCTAGTGAGGATAAAAGGAGCTGAGGGGCAACGACTTCATTGCTCTTGTGGCCTCCTGAGGAAGGAGAGTGGAGAGTGAGGCGCTGATCTCTTCTCCCTGGTATCCAGTGACAGGACATGTGGGAATGGTTCAGAGCTGCACCAGGGGGAGTTTAGGTTGGCCATTAGGAAGCATTTCTTTACCAAGAGGGTGGTCAAACACTGGGAGAGGTTTCCTAGAGGGGTGGTCGATGCCCCAGTCCTGTTAATGTTTAAGAGGCCTTGGGACTTAATAATATGCTTCAGCTTTTGATCCTCCCTGAAGTGTCAGGCCATTGGACCAGAGGGTCGTTGTAGGTCCCTTACAACCGTTCTGTTCTTTTTCTGTTTGGTTTTATTTTTGAGCAAGGATTTTCTTTTTCCAGCTGCTGCCATTCCACAGTCTGTTTTCAAAGAGAATGCAGATTTCTCTGTGCAGTTTGAGCACTTTGCACAGCTTGACTTTCTCAGTGAGCTAAAAGCTACTTGGCCCACTCCTTTGTGGGTCTCTGACTGCAGAGTGTTGCATCTGTATTCCTTCTGGTTTAGATCTAATCCAGGACTCTGTTTCTGGCTTTCCCTCAGTACTGCAGCAGCATAGTCAGATTCATGCCATGATTTGCCAACCTTGGAGAGCAGGAGCTCCTCTATTCCATGGCTTTTGAAAATTTGAAAAATATATTTATTTCTTTTTTACCCCTGTCCCCTCCCATCTGTATGCACCTGCCTTGTAATTGCAGCATCTGACAGCTACGTTATTTCAGTGCCCAGGTTGCTTATTCCACCAACCAGCTGAGCTAATGAAGAATCCAGATGTCTGAAACGCTGCCTAGAATGCCTTCAGTAATATGGACAATAGTCCCAAATGGAAATGCTTTAAGCTTATAAATATCTCTGGCTGCAAACGATGCTCTTAATACTGAAAACTTCGTGATGTCACTGCTCTTGCCTGTCATTTCTTGGCATTTGTCTTTGTTCTTTGGGATTCTCTGCTGTGTAAGATCCTGTTCTGCCATAAAAGCTGGTCAGGGAATAGGCAGTAGCTGTAGAGAGGACAATCTGACATATCAAAGACAATGAAATTTCACAGTTGGTGGGTTCAGTGTTTCAGTTTATTTTGTAACTGTGTTAGACTTTGAGGGATGTTTCCTTCATTTCCCATTCTTTTTCAGAAAGACACCAAAAGTAAGAGGGTTCCTTATGTTTTTCACTTCTTTTCTCATTTTAAGTGATGAGGCAACAAAAATTAATGGGATTTTTAGATATGTTGGATTATTTCTTTGGAAGAAATATGTTTAGGGATCAGGAAAAAAAACCCCATGCTACAAAACAGCTTTATATTACACTAGTTATTGTATGTAGGGTAACTTCAGTTTGCAGAGACTTTTTTAAGTTTTCCCAATGTCCTTCATTAGGACTTAGTTAAATGAGTTAACCAAAACTGCTTTTATCTTCATGGGCATCTCAAACCTGTCTTGTCACGCTCAGTGTAATTCAATCAAGAAATTTGACCAATCACAGTATATTCTATCCAAAAATTAATTCAATTTTATTGCTTGGTCCAGTGTTTTCATTTTAAAGGTCTCTCTTTGTTCTTCCTCCAGTGCCTCAGTAGCAAAATCAGTAGGCCAGGGTGTGCCCACAGTAGCAAAATACCACTATGGTCTCACCTACACAGAAAGCTTTTGCAGGTCTGGGCAGAGTTCTCTCACTGCAGGCATGGTCCTGTTCTTAAAATGAGAGTTGAGAATGTCAGCTTTCAGGTTCTTTTAACCTTTTGCTTTTAGTGGTGGTGATGGGTTTTCATTTATATTATTCTTATAGTACACCCAGGCACACAAATTGTCATCGAGTGACAGTGCCAGCTGAGTCCAGGAGAGGGAGTTTGAGCCCGTGAATTAGAAAGGTGAAGAATTAATTTGCTCTCTTAGATCTCACTCACTAAGATCTACACCATGGGTGGTGTTCAGAGCAGTTGGTATCTTCCCCTGTCTTTTGAAGAATAAGCAACAGAAACCCCTGTATATTCTGTGTAGTCTAAAATCTAAAAAACTTCACCTTTATATTTTCTGCTCGTGGCGAAAGCGGGATGAGTGACACCAAGCCAAAGATGAGATAGCAAAGTAAGGAGATTTTCATTGGCCTAATGGATATCACCAAACAGTTTTATCAATTAATCCAGTCTGTCATACGTTGTTTGCCATAATTGCATGCTTGACAGTTCCCAGAAACTGAAGCCGAAAAAGCATCTGCTTTGTGTAATATATGACTTGGAATAGACTCAATTTACTTTAGAAATGTGTATCTACTTGACGCCGAAATATTTACTTTACTGAGTACTTTATTACTAAGTGCTGAGGTGCCTGATGGGCCTTGGGTTTGTTTTTTTCCAGAATCTTGCTGCTGAAAAAACGTATAATAACCTAGATATCACGGTGACACAAGCCCTACAGCACCGCTCTCAGTATTTTGAAGGTGTTGTAAAGTGTAGTATGCTGGAAACACTGGAGACCATTGTGGATAGAATAGTAAAGGCTGAGGTGAGTCCCTTCACTGGAAGTTAAAAGTGATATTACTAAACTAATCAATAGTAAAAATTTATCCTTTCTAAATTGTTATGATTACCGGTGAAAGTTGCTTTTTTTTTTTAATAACTGCGTGTGTTAGATGTCAGTTTGCTTTACAGAGTTAGATGCCTATGGGGATGTGCAAAGTATTTTACAGTGTATCTGTAATAATATTCAGCTATTTGCATTTCTTTTTCTACATTATCTGAACTGAATGCAAAGTGTTTTTGAAGGAAACAAGTTTCTTCCAACCCTGCCATAAGTTTTGCAGACAAATAATGTGTTAAACTCCGGTTTATAGCTTGGCTCAGGGAATTTATTGGGTACAATTAGTTGATGCACATTGAATCCTGCACTGCTCTCATGGAAATGCTATGAAACAGGTCCAGAAAATAAATGCTTGTGAAGAAGTCTTCGGTAACTGCTCTTGTAAACTATTTATCTGTGCTATCCACTCTTTTGGTGCTGTTTATCTTTCTTGTTACAACTGGAAACTTTCTTATTCATGGAGGTGAATGAGTATATGGGTCTTCCTCCCCTGAATTACCAGTTTCAGTTGTCTCTGAGGTGTCATCAGCAATATTTATATACTTTGAGTTCTTCAATTACAAGATTTGTTTATTTTTCCATCTTCAGGGCTGTAACCAGTCATATAATGGATATGAGGAAAACTTCCACTTTGTTACAGCCACTTAGAACCTCCATTAGGCAATTTTTACTTGTAGCTTTCTGCATTTGCTTGAGCTTCCTCCTGAAAGGGAATAATTTTAGCTTTGCTGATATACAGATTTCAAATTTGAATTATTTTATTACTATCTTAAGAAGGTTTAGATGTTTGGGTTTGAAGAACAACTCCTACCCTCTGGTTCAGTCTAAACACAGTGAGATTACATGTAAAAATGAGTCAGTCAAAACTACAAGCTATTTTTAGCTGCCAGACAAGTGCTTGGTCTTACTGGAAATTAAAGAAATTAAACAATTACACTGTCCATTTTTCTTGAATTCATTACACCAAGAGAGGAATAAAATTATTAAATACATGCATATACAAAAGTTAATAAATGCATCTACAATATCACCAACTTCGTTTATCAAAAAAGAAAACAAAATAATATTTTCTCTCAGCTTAATAGTGAAGAGAGATAATGCACTTGGGTAACAGGAAACATGTACTAGGCTCTCAACTTCAGACTTTTTTTAGAATCTCTTACTTAGGAGCTGGTTCAGCTGTGATGTTCAGGTTGTACAACCCTGTGCCCAGTTGCAGCAGGCTCTGGTGCCAGGACTGGAATTAGGGCACTCTCCTGGTTCTGCAGTGGCCTTTCACTGCTGTGGCCTGTTCTCAGGATAAGCCTCAGGATACAGGAGTATCCACCTATTTTCCCTACAGCTGGGACAGAAGTTTTGTCACAATCTGTTGAAAATAAATTCCTTTAAAACCAGTCTGGCTCTCAGTTTCAATTGTGTAGCCCTATGAGAAAAGTTAAGTTTAAACCAACTCGGACATGTAAAAATACAACAAATTTTAGTGCTGTGCCTCTCTCTACTGAGAAAGACAGAAAGTATAAATAAATAATAATAAAAGCCTCGTTTTATTGCTGTATCTTATTTTTTGAGATCACAGGCTGATTTGGGCAGAGCCCGTAAGGCGGGGAAAAGAGCTTGATGAGCGTGCCACTTTTTGAGAGCAGAAGTGTTTTCAAGACCTAGATCTTGCCTTACCTGTCAGTTTATCTGATTTTGTTTCCATGTGATACAGTTGTGTGCTTTTTAAACATGCACTGTTTTCATTTATGTAGGGCAAGCACGTTTGTATTGCCAGGAGGGAATTGGTATTGCTAACATTTTGAACCATTTGGGGTTGGTTTTTTTTCTACTTGTCTTCATACTGCTTTACTTTAGGGGGTTTTTTTTTGTTTGTTTGTTTTTTCTTTGCTTTGGCTAATAGTTTAAATCAGATACATGTGTCTCAAGCTCTCTTCCCTGCTGGCAGGTTCATCGTCTGGTGGTAGTGAATGAAGCCGATAGCATTGTGGGTATCATCTCCCTTTCTGACATCCTACAAGCTTTGGTACTCACACCTGCAGGTATGGATCTGCCCTCTGACCTTTGCCACAAGGCTTTGGTAGTGTGTACACCCCGCTGGCTTTAATTTATTTGACGAAGACAAACGTTTGATCTTCAGCTTCTGTAACTGCTGCGTCATAGTTCTTAAATACATTAATGATTTCTCTTCAGGAAAAAGCTGACGAAGTATTAACTGCCAGTCTCCTGTTCACTGAGGAGGGCATGCAGAAGCTTTATGAATGTCACTGTTGTTCATGTATCTTCTTTTTAGAGGAAAAAAAAAAGGTCTTGATTAATGTTTTAATAGGATGAAGTTGAAATATATTAGGAAGAAATTCTTTACTGTGAGTGTGGTGAGGCCCTGGCACAGGTTTCCCACAGAAGCTGTGGATGCTCCGTCCCTGGAAGTGTTCAAGGCCAGGTTGGATAGGGCTCTGAGCAGCATGGTCTAGTGGAAGGTGTCTCTGCCCATGGCAAGGGGTTGGAACTGGATGATATTTAAGGCCCTTTCCAACCCAGGCTGTTCTGTGATTCCATGATTCCATGGTACAGACAATATCTTCAACAGGGTGCCTTCCCCACCTTCCTGAGTTTCTGTACTCTGGCCAAGCACTTCATGCTTTCCATGAACTCTGCAAAAACATCCCCTCAGAGCCCTTCAGTTGTCCAGCTGTGCTGGGTGGTTTGGTTGGCTCAACTTGGGGCAGAGATACAGGTTTATTTCTGCTACTTTTATCTTGGTTGTGGGGGGCTTGTTTAGTTGGTTTTTATTTTGGGTTTGGTTTTAAGTTTTGCCTGAGTTCCTAACCTGCTTTATGTTCTTAATTGTAACTTCACTTTGGCCACATAATGACTTCATTGTCACAAGAACTAAAGCAAAGCCATCTTTTGGCTTTGTGGAGAAGACAAAAAATGTCTTGAGGATTACCATTTTGGTTCAAAAAAAAAATCAGACTAAATAAATGGAGCTGTATATGTCCTTCACATAAGAAAGTCTGAATGTGAGCTTAACTGGGATCTCTTACCTGCCTTGGTAGATAACATAATTATGTTAAAGTGTTTTTTCTCTGGAGGTTTAAAAAAAGAAAAGCTGATGTAGCTTGTTAAATAGTAAGATTTTTCCTCTGAAAAGAAGTAATTACTTACACTGCTGGAGGTATTATGTCAGTGCATTTGCTTTCTTTTAATAACCTCGGAGAGCAAGTAACCCAGCTCTCTGTGGAAGGTACAGCTGAGGATGAGAAATCAGCCCAAAGGTCTGGATCAAATGGAATCATGTCCTAGAGAGATAATGGAGAGGTATCTGTCCAAGAGGGAAATATAAAGACAGGCAGCTGGTGCCTCTCCAGGCAGAGAAGGGAGTTTCCTCCATGACTGGAGGGCAGAAGGATCCAAGGAAAGTCGAACTTACTGTTATTAGAGCAAAAATTAGGCAGAAAAGATGCATCTGGATATTGACAAACAAGGAGCTTTGTTATACTGGAATTACATGGACACCTACATTGCAACTCTGAACTGATGTAGAAGTGCTCTGTAGTTAATTGAAAAGGGCAGTTCCTGCTCCCAGACTGTGGGCTGTGCACTGCTGGTGTTAACAGGTGGCAGCACCACACTCTGAGATCTCTGTGAGCTGCTGTAACTCATTGATCCAACAGGAAACTGAGCCAGCAAAAAAAGCTGCAGTTTTGTCAGCTTGGCACCCTGAGCTGGCTCACAGAACAGTCTGGTATGGGGGGTACTGCACAGGGGTTAGAACAACAGAGAGGGCAGGGTTATGCCATGGAAGAGATGAGGTGAGGGAAGGCATTTTTTGGGAGCAGGTAGGCATTAGATTGCATTTCCACAGGCAACTGCCCAATTTTAGACTGGGATTTGTCTCATGAAGAGGGGATGTCTGCGATGTAAATCTAGTTTTTAGAGTTTGGAGTGTGATTTAGCTCTTAAAGTGGATGTGTAAGCATACCAGATAAATCATGCCCTAAAAGTGTTAATTTCTCTTCAGAGACTGGAAAGGAAAATTTATTGACTGGCAGGAGTTTAGACCAGCCTATGTTAGGGGAAAAAAAATTACCAGTTGTGATGTGAAAACTGGATGTATTTAATGAATCTTTCAGTGTTTGATTATACATTACAAGTAGCAACTCCAAGTTGCTGGCAAGAAATTCTTGCTCTCTAGAGTTGGATGCTGAAGCCAAGCTCACCATGGGGTTCAGTCATTGCCCAGCATGGTTTGAGTACCTGGGGAAGAGGTGAGGTGCTGTACATTCCTGCTGAACAGGTCTCCTGGATCCCTGCTGTCAGCAAAATCTGCCTCTGAGCCAGGAAAAATGGGCCCATCAACACAGTGTACTCAAACTGAATTGTTATACAGTTTATGCTCAAGTAGGGCTTCATTTTTTCAGGGCTATTATGGTGATAAGCTTGGCTCTAAGCTGAGGGACAGGTTTGGGCTGTGGCTTTTTCTTTGGGGGGTTTTAATCTATTTTTTTTGTGCTGGGGAGAGTCTTCAAATGCACTTGGAGTCACTTCCCAGAAGAATTACTTGGACTTACCAATGAAGTCAGAAGCAATGACGGTCTCAAGGCCTTCCTGGCTCTGTTTTGTGTTGGCATTCAGCAATCCTTCAGTATATTCTTTATAAATGGTACATCCAGGCTTAAGATTTTGGTGACATGGGAAGTTCCAGCATTTGGGATGAGCAGTGCTTTTCCATAAGCCCCATGCTATGAGCCAAAGGAAATCACACCTGCTTTCCTCTTCTGTTCACAGGTGCCAAACAGAAGGAGAACGAGAGCGAATGACTGCTGTGAATGTACATGTTTGTAGGAGAACTTGAACAAAGTTTCTGGGTCAAGTTTGTCTCAAGAGCAGTGACTGCAATAGAACAGAGCAGGATGGTTGAGAATGTGTATTGGGACTTAGTGACGGATGATGAGTCTCTTCCCCCAGTGATGTCGCAAAAAAAAAAAAGCAGCATGACAAAAGCTTATGTTAAAATGTAGGCTCGTATTTCAAAATGTCTTCAAAACATTTGCTGGAAGACTTCACATGATGTCCTTCATTAAAATGCACTGTATTCTGAAACTTTTTCATTTTGTATTTGACAGAAGTCACTGGTCAGCAATGGATATATGTGGCATAAGGCAAGTGTATGGCATATTCATATCATAGTGCCTTATGTCAAAATACAGCAATATGTCATCACTGTTGCCCATCACTGTCAAAGGAAGTGTTGTGCTAAACGAGACACTGTATTTGAATGTGAAAGTCTTTAAACCTAAAACCAAATCAGTTTCAGTTCTCATTAGATTTGTCATAAAAGCTGTAATTTGGGTATCGGTAGAACTTCTTTAAAACTTCAATGACAGTTTTGTGTTCAATGTTGCATTCTGAACTGAAATGTAAAACAAGACTGATTTAAAAACAGCTTTATTTATTTTTACTTTCATGACAATTTTTTACACATCTTTGGTGGATAGCTAAAATTTCACCATATCCATTAATAAACTGTTGATTGTTATACAAACAAGTGGGAGATTTTTCTCATTATTTAAAACTTCAGAGTTGCAGAAGCTGTGGCCTGTTGATCAGTCCGTGTTACTTGAGCTGAGGATTTCAGAAGCATGGATTGAAAGTGATCTGTACTGTCATACACAGGCACCACGGAGGAAATGAGGTGCCAGAGGACAATATTTTCATCTGTATTAAAGTGTAAAATGATGTTTGTACAACAAAAACCCGAAACTTTTTATTGTATATGATCTGTACAGAAGCGGAGGAATGAGGAGAGCTGGGGGGTATTTGCTAATGTAAATGTACTGTAAAGTTTGAAGATGAGACTTTTATAACTGTAGATTCTTGTAGATGGAAGAAATTAAACCCTACAACATCAGTTTGGTTTTAGCAGTTCGTGCCAAGTTCTTTCACATGTGTAAATGAACGTGCATTTTGATTAGTGTAAACTATTAGAGGCACTCCTATTTTCCCTGGACTTTAAAGTTGTCTTATGCTAATGGAGTAATGCAGGCAGGACTTTTGTACTGTGTTTCCACCCCGAATACTGCAATGGAATAATGCAGTAAATGGATCCATTATTTTTCCATTTATAAACATTGAGGTAAAAGGTGAACTGTTTCCAGTTTGCTGATAAAATGTGAGGGTTTTAATAGTAATGACAAACTCTTTCTTTAGAACTATTCCTCTTTCCTATAAGAACTTTAATTTTGAACTAAATGTGTGAAAAATTTCTTCTTGCACGTACCTTTCATGTCTAAAAACACTCCTGTAGTACACAATGGAAACTGTTCACTTTGTCTCACTTTCTTACCCTGTGAAAAACATTGTCAAGTCTCCTCCAGCACCTTTTCTGACTGGGTAAATATTGACTCTGTTCCCTGCAATTCCTGATGGTACTGAATTGGAATAGCTGCTTTGGCCCAAGAGCAGCGACCTCGGGGTCTGGTGCTGTGGTTGCTGCCATCAGAGCTGACATCAGCACATCTCTGATTATCCTTGTGTGGGAGATGGAGTGATTGGAACTAAAAATAGTGGCTCTCATTCTTCCTAGGGTGTGTGGAGGGGATAATTTGTGGTAGATAACTGATTAAGGGTAAGTGGGCAGCAGGGCTCCCTGCAAACACCACAAAAACCACGTAAAAAGCCAGGATACAGCCCCAGCACAGGCACTGTAGCATCCTCTGGGAGCTGGGATGGCAGGGAGTTGCCTAAATGGATCGTGAGATCTCTCTATCACTTATTTGCATGAGCATATTCTTCAGCCCTGTATTCAAGGTATTTTTGAAGATAAGGGTTGAACAGCTGGTAGGTACTTGTTTTTATGTATTTTGTAGCACAAAGTCTTCTGGCCCTGTTCCACACAGGCAGCTTTGCATGCAGCAGTAAGCAGAAAGCCAGAATGAATTTGCAGTTTTCAGACAAACACGTACAGACTTCTTATTGTAACGTTATTACAAGTAGTGCTGTTGGCACCTTGTGGACACAGGACTAGCAAAATTATGGACATCAGCCTCCTCGACAATACAAAACTGTGTTTGGAGAATTTCCACCCTTACCTTCTGGGATTCAGAGCTGAACTCTGCATTTGTGAGGAGCAGAACTGCAGTGTGACCCCACAAGCACGAACAAACAGCGGTGCCATCAAAAAGGCACTCGGCTTGCACTGGCACAAGTGCTGGTGCTGATGCAGTAAACACAGCTAAGGAAAATGTGTCATTTTTAATACAGATCAGTTTTCTACAGAACTAGAGAAATGCTTGTTCCAGCATAAGGGAGGGGCAGGAGTAAGTAAATGAGGGTAGAGAAAGGAGGGGTGACTCAGCAGTGCTGCTGCATATTCCAGATTAAAGGGACAGCGCAACTAAAGCTTCGGTCCAGGACTCTTCATGTGGCTCGTGAGAGGCCCCAGCCATGGGAAAGAGTTAATAAAATGTCATTAAACTCCAGTTCTTGCACATTTTTCCCTCTGGGCAGGAAGCAAGCAGTACCTATAGATCTGAGACCACTGCAACAGCTCCAGGTGCTCCCTTTCTTTCCACAGACAGGACCATGCTGCAGATGGAGGTGGCAGAACTGTCCCCCATGACTCCTGAAAGCCTGTTCAATAGGGCAGATGAAGAAATAGATTCTATTTTAACCAGCAGAACTGTAAAACACATCATCGATTCCTGTGCTTCCCTGTGCATTTCCTTGCCCAGCAAGAGCTGTTTGTGAAAGATAATTATTCTGAAGGGCTCCTTGGTCTGGGAAGGGTTTTTACCTACTCTGGATATTTTTAACTCTTTAGGTGTAAGAAAATGTTTCTTAGTAGACTTCAGCCCTCAGTATTTTTCAGCATCTAGAGATGTTCTGAAATAACTGAGGAAAAATCACCCTTTGTTGGCATTGATCACTTGACTGACAAAAAATTTTCCTGTTATACTTCTGTAATGCTTCAGTTAAAAGGTCCAAAATCAGACAATATTTGCTGTTTACTGAACTGAACTCCAATCATTGTGTATCCGAGGCCTATTCATCTCCTTTTTCTAAGGAATACTGTTCTGCTGGGAATGTTTGGGTAACACAGAAAGAACCAGCCTCTCTTTGCGAGGCCTGAGCTCTTGTCCTCATGGCAGACAGGAGGAATCTGACTGAAGTGGTTCCAAGGCTACGCACTGAGAACACTCCTTGCCATTTTCAGAGGGACCATAGGGTAAGTTGGAGTTTTGGTCCAACTAGCAGTGAAACCACGTGTGTTTAATCCTGTCTCACAGCAGGCTCTGTAACTGCTCACACTGAGCTCTCCAGTCAGCTTTAGAATAACCAGTTTACTTCTAAAGTTTCTGTGAACTTTCACCCATATTGAACACTTATTAAGGGTAATTTCCAGAGGAAAATGCCATTCTGAATAATTTAATATTACCCTTGTACCCACATAATGTATTTATGCAAAAAGAATGTTCTGCAGACACTGCTCTTTGCTCTTCACTTCAGGTCTTAATTTAAATGTGGTTTTGAAAGTCACTTTCTTAGTACCCATTTGTTTTCTGGTGGTTGCAGTCAGACCTGTTCCTGCTGAAGTGAATGGGGAAAGGTGACCTGTACTCATACATCAAACTCATTCCTTCAGAAAGTATGGAACGTGTCCCTGCCAGCTGCACACCAGGACCTCTACGGCATCAGTGTCAGCAGCCCCCGTGAACTGAATTTGTTCCTTAATTTGCTTCTACTAACATTTTGCCAGTGGTTCCACCTGAATATTAGAAAGTTCGATGATGGAAAAGGCAGGAGGGGCAGGAACAAGTGTAAGGCTGGACTGAATTTAGTTTGTAACCTCTGCAGGCAGCAAGGGCTGTGCCATGCCTGTGGGAGCACGCCCAGCACAAACACTGGACACACTTCAAAAAACCTCCTCGTGAAGGTCCTGGTTTGCTGAAGGACAGAGCAGGTAATTGGGCTGATAATTGCTGTTACAGGAATTGAAGGTACAAGTCAGAGCTGTTCTGCATTTGGGAGATGAGTAGCCGGGTGTTTGTGGGTTTGCACGTACTGGATTAGCATAAAAATACTTGACTGTTGAGTTACGTTTGCTACATGAAATTCGTGGTGGTTTTTCCTCCATCATGGCAAAGCAGATACAGGAAACAAAAGAAAGTCATGTTCCTTTTTTCCAGGCTCCCTCAACACCTTGTTCCTGCAAACAGTTCTTGCAGTTCTCCCTTGTGGTATCTCCTCTTTCAGACCTGTGGCCATACTTGATGTGTTGCATTCGCTGACCATATTGTTGGCTCATTTACAACAACATTAATGCCATTTATCATCTGAACTGATCCAAAGGCTATGTTTGATTTGAAGGAGTATCTGGTAAAGGCCTGGGGTGCAGCCAGTACACAGCACATGTCACTTGTCCCAAAGTTCTCTGAACTCCTTTGTAGTTCACACAACTTGCAAACACTACAGGCATGAAGAGGCTACAGCAGGACCAGGGGGAATGTACAGGCAAAAGACCTAATCCTTAATGGTCCTGATGCTATGGAATGCTGGACTGGGAAAACAGAGCCTGAACATCCCACTTGGATTGTTATAGGGGTAGGGAATTTCAGCGAAGGGCCACTTAGTGTGTGAGGCTGCTCAGCCCTAAATATGTAAACAGTAAGAGTACAAATAATGCACAATACCTGGATTAGACATTCCCAGCCACAGGTGCACTCTCCCTCTGCACCAGAGCACTCCAGGAATTGTTTAAGCTTCACCTGGGCAGGAGAAATGCAACGACAGCCTTACTATGATCCCGATCCTGTCATCTTTGCTTAAGCTGCTGCTTGAGTAGCTGTGTCCCAGGGTGCTCCCAAAGGCCATCAGCAGTGTCACCCAGTCCTAGAGCGTGGAAAAACAACCCAGTTCCCTGAAAACCCTATATTTGCCTGTATTTGAGTGTCACAGTCAAGATAGAATGAAGCATTTGCGTGATTCTGATGGAGTAAGAATTGTTAGCCAATTCTTTGCAAAGAAACAGTGGAAGAAAAGAAAGTTAAAAGGTTGTCTTCAAATTTAAAACAAATGCCCAGAAAGGATGAGTTCTGTGTTCCTGCTGCAGCACAGGCCGACAAGCAAGGCGTTATCCTAAGGTGAGACAACTCCATTGCAATCTGGGGCAAGAAATAAAGCCAATAAAGGCGGGGAGAGTGGAAACCCTGCAGTAGTGAACTCCCCCAAATGAACACAGAGTGAGCAGGTGCAGGTTAACAGAAATGAGATGGATAAATAGACAAGGGTCCAAAAGGTGAATGGGATAAGAGAAAGAGAGTAAGGGGAGAGACCTCGTCAAAAGAAGTGGAGTGTCAAGGAAGGAGCAAAACCAGAAACTCTTACAAACAAAAAAAATACTGATGCTCACCAGCATGGAGGGGTATGAATGTATATTCTGAAAATGCAAATTATGTTTCACCAGAGTAAAAAGCACAGTGCCAAAATACTACAGGAAAGTAATAACTGTAAGGAGATGAAACTACTACAAACTTCACCTATTTTTCCAAATCCATGTGTGTCATTGGAACGTAATTCTTATCTCAGTTTTCTCAGTCCTCTGGCTCAAATTTTGGACCCACATTCCAGAGGAAGTGAGTGCAAAGAGGATGGCACAGCTGCAGGGCTACACAAGGGATGGTCCTGCAGGATTATGGCTGCTGCAATTCTTGTCCTTTATAAACACTTCTGTCTTTTAAAACACACAAAGCAAAAAGGGATGTACATCAGGCAGGGCTTTCCCTCTGTACCTTCTGGAGAGCTTTGAACAGTATCCCTGTTCACAAAAGCTGGATTTCCATAGGCTACTCTTTTTCTGCTGGCCCACCAAATCCCACCACATCATGGGATTGCACCAATCCCTATGGTGGG